CCCAGGATGGGAGAGGTTGTGTAAGCACTCAAACACGGTGCGGCGTAAAGGCCTAGGGACAATTGGTCGAGGAGTGCCTGTTGATATGTCACACAGTATGGATGCTTCACTGTTCGGTAGGGGAACACGTTCTATTCTCAGCGAGGTTTCGTTTGACAGGTGTTCTAAGTTCAATTCTTTCATTTGAAGTTCAGCCATTTCATTAAGATCTATGGTTGGTGGCGCTGAAACTACGCATACGCGAGATAACGCGTCAGCCACCGGATTATCTGCTCCAGAGACGTGCTGGATTTCAGAAGTAAACTGCGAAATGTAGTCTAACTGGCGCAATTCGCGTGGTGAGCACCTGTCCGTAGTGGTGCGCAGGGCATACGTTAGGGGCTTGTGATCGGTAAATACTGTGAATTTCCGACCTTCGACGAAATGGCGAAAATGTTTGATAGACGCGTATATGGCGAGGAGTTCTCTGCCAAAGGTGCTATACCTCGCTTCAGCGGCGGACAACTTCCGAGAGAAAAAGGCGACTGGTATCTATGAGGTATGTACCTTCCGCTGTATAACAGCTCCAACGGCTGTGTTAGATGCATCAACTGAGATGCTGAGCGGAAGTTGGACGTCTAGGTGAACTAGCATGGTGGCGTCTGCAATCGCCGACTTAATTTTCTGGAACGCTTCTCGAGGCTCTGGTGTCATGCTGAATGTTTTGCTCTTACTCTTTAGTAGGTCTGTGACTGCTTTTAAAATATGTGCACATTGAAGAACAAAGCGTCGGTAATAACTCACCATGCCTAGAAATGTGCGCAAAGATTTTGTTGACGTAGGCTCCGGAAAGTTTTGTATTGCCTGGACTTTCTCAGGTAGCGGGCGAATTCCATGTTCGTTAATGACTTGTCTCAGGAAAGTCAAGGAACGGACGCCAATCTGGCATTTAGGCATTTTAAGTGTCAAGCTGTGGGTTGTTAACCGCTTAAAAACTATCTGTGAATGCGTACGGTGAGTAGCTTCATCTGGGCTAGCCACGGGAATATCGTCGAGATAGGCATACGCGCAATCCAATCCGCGCAAAACATCGTGAATGAAACACTGGAATGTTTGTGCGGCGTTGCGGAGACCGAACGGCATTCGAAGGAATTTGAAAAGACCAAAAGGAGTGATCACTGCCTTTTTAGGGATATCGTCGGGATGAACTGGGATCTGATGATAAGCTCTTGTTAAGTCGAGTTTGCTGAATACCGCTGCACCTTTGAGGGAAGATGTAAGGTCATGTATATGTGGCATAGGGTAGCGATCTGCGCATTAAGTCTGCGGTAGTCCCCACAAGGCCTCCAGTCTATCCCGTTATTTTTAGGCACCACATGTAAAGGGGAAGACCACGGGCTGCTCGATGGACGGATTATCCCCATGTCTAACATATGATCGAACTCAGCCCTTACGGCTTGTAGTTTTTCTGGGGACAATCGCCGTGGCTTTGCGAATACAGGTGGACCAGTTGTCACGATATGATGAGTGACAGTAGAAGTCACACAAGGAAGTTTGGAAACCGGTTTGAACAGGTTGGCAAAGGACTGGAAAACATCAGCGTAAGGGCCGTTAGAGGCAGGGCTGGACTGGACTTAATGTGTGTGTCACGACACCGGAGATCGAGAGGTTTGTAGCTGAATCAATCAATTTGTGGTTGCCAGTATCTACCAGTAGCTGATAGTGTTGCAAGAGATCCATGCCAATAATACCGGTGGTTACATCTGCCACTAGAAGGACCCAACGAAATGATCTACGTAAGCCTATGTTCAGATCTAAGAACCTTTTACCGTACGTTGTGATTGGCGAACCGTTTGCGGCGCGAAGCTGTAAGGAAAGTGGCCGCTGGCGCTCTTCAGGTGTTGATGGAATCACGCGAACTTCCGCCCCAGTGTCAACCAGGAAGCGTGTCCCAGTGTTACGGTCAGTAACATAGAAGAGGCGACATGGAAGTGGTTCGCCAGCGACGTTAGTCGCCAATACGTGCTGGCTTACTAGTTTCCCGATTGCTGGACATCGAAGGTGTACAGGCGAGTACACTTTTGGGCCCTGTCACCATAACGCCGGTGATACCAGCACACTCCAGGCTGGGAATTGTGAGACCTATTGCCAGCTCGTGAAGAAGATCTCGTTATGTGGGCCACCACATCTAAGCTTGATGACCCCTCGGCAGAGGAGTCCTTAGTCTGAGTGGGACTAGCGGTTACGGCAGCCGAAATGCTCATATTGGATGTAGTAGTCTCCACCACTCTATCGGCTGCCTCGGCTAGTTCGGATAAGGGGGACTTGTTGATTAGGGCTAAAATGCTCTGAATCGCCTGCGGCAATCGTTGTAACCAAAGCTGTTTTAAAAAGGCATGATCTATTTTGAAGTCAGCAACCAACAGTCTCATCTGATGCAACAGTTGAGTGGGCTTTCTATCGCCGAGCTGAACATCTCTGAAAAGTTCCTGCACTTTCTCTTGTTCGGTAAGTGCAACGCGCTTAATTAGCGCCAGCTAGAGGCGCTCGTGCAAGTCTGGGGATGGGTCCGCGAGGACATCAGACGCTTCTTCCATGACGTTCTCAGGAAGACTCACGATTACCAGGTTCACCTTTGTCTCTTGTGAGTGTATATGTCGGAGGGCGAACATAGCTTCTATGTGGCTGAACCATGCAACAGGACGATTTGTCCAGAAGGTAAGGAGCTGCAAGGTGATAGCAATTTGTGAGGAGGAGCTGTTGTCGGCCATCATGCGAACAAGACGATATATTAATAGAATGATAACAACAAATATGGTAACAAAAAATATGAGTAAAAACAAGGCAAGTAAAATTTCATAACTCTATGTGAAAAACAAACAAATTGTAAATATGAAAAAGGACTATTTACACCTTAAGCTACTATGGAGGCAAACGGTGAAAACACGGGCTCACCACTTGTAAGAGTTAGGATTGGCTTAACTTAGACCTAAAATAACCACTCTTACAAAACTTCTTCACCGCTTATGACCTTAATCGTACTCTGCCTAATGTGCAAGTACTGACGAACGGAATCAAGGTTAAAAGATTGAGATGGCAAGTGTGACTGGAACAGAAATGTATTTCCACAAAAGAGATACGGAGCTTGGTAAGAAATAAGAGGTTACACACTTATCTGCAGTCTTGACTGTGGTAGGCTCGGAGAGTGCGCTGGATGAAAGCACAACGAGAGGGCGAACCAAGAACGCACAAGAGTTTCACGAATCGAAAGAGGAAGTAGTGCTGAAGGTCAGGTGAGTCCGTTCAAACAAAAGTTCGAAGGTTCAATGTACGCTACAGTGACAACTCTGTTGATTTGACTTAACTTTTGCTTGTTTTTTCGAACTACTTAAAAGCTGAGTAATTCCGTATTTTACTTGTCTCCATGTACAGCCTGAGCACAACTCTTTCATCAAACCCTTCGCGTTACTACGTAACTCCTCTTTAATGATAGTTCGTCATAACTCACCGCTTTTGTTACTACCCTCTTATATCGGCACCCTATTCCTCCAGACGCCTACTTACTTACCTTACTAACTGTATTTCCGTTTGACAAATTTAACGTACACACATACAAAATAACCATATATATTCGCGATTGTATAGCTCTGAAAATGAATTCGCCGAAAAGGGACTCTCCTCTGAACTACTAGTCTTCTCTCTATTATTGTTCGAATCGGGATTTTTCACGAATTTAATATTTTCCACTATTTAATTTTTGGTTTCAAATCCCGTCAATCTCTCCATTATTTTACATGTCCTGTCGAGATTTGAGAGGTTATTGAAAATTCAGTTATATGGTTGAACTTATGGTGTCTGTGAGCCAGGAATTAGATACAGATGACCCTTCAAGTACTCATAACCTACTGGTTAATTTCTTAATATTAGTCGGATTTCTTCTCCCAGACCACCGGCCAAAGTCTGCGTCATGGATCTGCTGATATTCATTCCTCCTTCCTGTGGTAAACGCTAGAAACAGGCAGCCACGAGAAATACGTTCCCTGACTTTTGAGGAGAGCCTTACCTAAAGCAAACTGAGACAGTTGTCACCTTAGTATTTTGAGGGATTTCACTTATATATTGCACAACACCAAACAAGTCGACACCCAGTAGTCAATCATTCATTTAGGCACTCCTGTAAGAAAACTCAATTATTTACCACACGACGTTGTCAACAGGAGATCGGCGTTGTGACTCACTATGTAGGATAAAAAGTGGCCTCAAAACAATTACTTCTCTCGGTGCCTCTAACTCCGATACATTCCACGAAAGGTGCAACGTTTAACAGCTTAAAATGAATAAATCTATTCATTTCAATAATTTAATAATATTGTTATGCGTGAACTAATATTAAAAATAAGGATGAGGACGTGGAATATTCGTACGATGTACGAAACTGGAAAGGCTGCCCAGGTAGCCGCAGAAATGAGAAGATATAAAATAGAAGTATTGGGAATCTGCGAGAGCAGATGGAACGGATGTGGACGGAGCCAACTGCCAACTAGAGAGACAATAATCTACTCCGGTCACCCAGAGGATAACCATGAGCACACCGAGGGAGTAACCATCTTGATGTCACCAACAGCAGCCAAAGCTCTCATGCAGTGGGAACCAATCTCCTCCAGGATAATGACAGCCAGGTTCAACTCAAAAGGAAGGAAGTTTACAATCATTCAATGCTATGCGCCTACAAACGTCTCAGAACAAGAGAAGAAGGAGGCTTCTACAGACAACTACAAGCAGTAATGGACAACGTCCCAAATGGCGATATCAAAATCCTGATGGGTTATATGAATGCATTCAGAGGCAGGAAGACATTTAGACATATGTCATCAAAAACATACCTTAATTATTTTGTTCCAGTCCTTCAGGAAGGATGAACTGTTCATTTTAGCTATGAGTAAGACATTGAATACTAGACTTAATTTATTTACTTGTTTTACCCCTTGAAGGTCGGCCATACTTTTGTAAACGGACCAAAAATGAGGATTGGGGAGCTAAGGCCTGACCAGTCAGTCCTAGTTGAGGCTTTAGTCCGTGAACTCGAAAAATTGGATAGTAATGCATACCCTGCACTTTATAATTTAGCAGAAAATGGTATGTGATTGCTAGCCTTAACGGACAATGTTGCAGAACTTTTTCGTTTGCGTGGTGGAATCGCTGATTCCTTTGATCTGGTCACTAATAAACCTGTTAAAGTCAGAGCAAAAATAGAAATACCACAAGCTCAATTCCCAGCAGTCAACTTTGTTGGGAAACTCTTGGGGCCTGGGGGTCAAACCTTGAGAGCAGTGCAAGAAACAACTAAAACGAAAATGGCGATTTTAGGTTCTGGGTCATTAAGAGATGAAGCAAAAGAAAAAGAACTTCTTGCTAATGGTGATCCAAAATATCAGCACTTGAAACAAAAGTTACATCTCCAGATAGACAGTTTAGGACCACCATCTGAATCCTGTTACCGACTTGCTCATGCCTTAGCGGAAGTTAGAAAGCTAATGTTACCAGTAAGTCCAAACATCAATTTTTATTCATATTGAAAGGAGCAAACAGAACCTCCACTACAACCGTGGTCACAGACAACTCAAGACCCATCCGTGGTTGCTAGGAACATACCTGGTGTTAGGAATGTGCGAGCAACATTCCGCGCCCAACCCTCCATCCCATCACCTTTCACATCACCTCAGGTTCAGATTCCATTCCGTGGTCGAGGCAAAAGTTGGATTGGTAGAGGGGTGATGAAAAACGGCGTAGGTATTCCGCTTCAGTCCCCAGTCACTGCTGACCCTTTTGTTGATGTTAATCCAGTCAATTACCCACCGATAAATTTATACGATGTAACAGAGTTCGGCCCTCATATGTTTGAGGAATTCGGCCTGAATTATGGTAGGTCAGATGACTTTTCTCTTTCCTTTCTTTTTCGAAGTGTTTTTGAGGCTTAATTAAAATCTAAATTTTTAACCTAGGACAAGACGATACGTGGGGGAAAGTCAGCATTTCAGAACCTCGTGGACGAGGACGAGGCCATCCCTACGCGCGTCCGGCAGTCAATAATGATCACAATAATTTCGGGTAAATAAATAGTTTGACCATGAGGCTCCTTCCGTATGTATTGAAATATGACAATGACGCCAGAGGTGCATTTCATGTGTGTCTTCGCCAATCAACTACCACTAAACGCGGTAAAATTGCTTAAATTGTCTAACTGCTTGTCTGTAGTACTGTCTCTAAATATGTATTCATGAAAAACTTGTTAAATCACAATCTAAATAAATGCCGTAATACCTCTGTCATGATCCTAACTTCGGATACTTAGCCTTTTTTTGCACACTCAGGATAGAGCTTTTTAAAAATTTAGATGAAATGTTACCAAAAATAAATCCAGTCGTTTATGCCTGTATATCCGAAACTCTGAAAACTGCGAATTATTATTGCTGGTTCGCACCATCTAAGTTTGTTTTCATTTCTCTTAATATTTCTTTTCAGCAATCTCATTGCATTAAGAAGTGTGTGGAAAACTTTTCTCTATGGGTTGCATATGCACAAAAGTATTCACATGTTTGTGTACATGTATGAAATATGCCAATTTCCCCCTGGATTCAGTAATGATCTTCAGTACCCTTAAGGTCACTCGGTCTATTGACAAAAAATGTTTTATATGGCGTGATAATTTGGCCGAAAATGTACTTTGTCACCGTTGGGGTAAATGCTTCGCATCATATCCCAAATTTAGGATATTATTGGATTATTGTCCAACTAATAGAAGTCACATACGTATCAGATTCACTCATCTTCCTCTGTGGGATTTTGACCCTTTGGTCCTTGTACTCCACTTCCAACTGCTGGTTTGCGTGGAACTACGCTAAGTTTAGGTAACCAGGAGATTCACTAACCCTCACACAATGTGTCGCTGACTACCTACAGTTTGGGGGATGTAAATGTTTCAGCAACATTCCAGTTACTGTAATTTTGTGTGACGACTAGCCCTTGCTAGTAACACCAGGTTTTTAATTTTCCTTTTTTTCATTAGTTGGGTAGACGACAATATATGCAAATTCTATGCTGGCTCACTTTATATTTGGAAGGTACTACATGTCTAGAAAAAGGACGTGAATGGATTTACTTGGGTTCCAGTTTCCAAATTTTGTTTAAATTCTACATCTCGCTGCGTGATGTAGACTGGTAGTCCCCGTTGTCGTGTTACAATCATATTGCGTTCTCATGGAAGCTAACTCTTCCAACCTAGCCACAACTGACATCGATCACTGGGTGTTGCTTCACGGGATATTTTGTACTTATCTAGGACCAAATCCTTCCTCACTAAGCAGTACACCTAACCTTATCTTTGTATTCCAGCCTGTTCCGGCAGCCACAAACCATTTTCCTTTTAATACTCCCTTCTTCTGTCTTGATTAACATTGTAGCTGGCATCAGGCTAGAACAGAGATAAGAGTGGTCAAACCGAAACTCGGCATCGGTTTATGGAGTCATTGGCTGCTGGTTTGAGCGTTGTGTAGCCTATCTGGTTGGAGTCCCCGAAACGCTAAGAATCGATTGTTGTTGACTATTGATGTTGTGGCTGAGAATCGTCCTCAGATGGATTCGCTCTTTGTAATATCCATACCAATTAAGTCCTCATGTTACTAAACTGTTTTTTGTTTGTTTCTACTCGTTATTGGTCTTAAGGACTGCTTTTTCCTAATTTTTATGGGCTACGTGGGGTGCTGAAACTTCAACTGCTGTCCTTCTGTGCTGAGTTCTATTTTAAAATCCGGTCGTCCATTTACTATTTTCTGTCCTCTGGCTGGTCCACATCTGATGAGAAAAACCAAGAACTACTACCCTTTTTATTCAACGGCAATTTAATCGGCGTCAGACCAAAATTTTGTATATGCATGGGTTTCATTGACAACCAACCAATGCTAGTGTAACTGACAGTGTGAGTGGAATGGTCAACACGTTCAACCATTTCGTTCCTCTTTAGCTTTGAGTCAGCACAGATCAATTTTTTAGCATCATGTATATGACAAGGGCAAACCACCGTATTTAGATGTTTGCTCAGGTAACTCAGGAGACTTTCGTCAGCGTCTTTGCGCGAAAGGCCACATCATCTGTGTATTCAAAGTAGACGAGGACTTACGTCATGCAATTGAATTCCAGAGACCAAAATAGACCATGTTCATATAAGTTGGTATATGTAAAGTGGAGTTGAGGAAAGTGGTGACAGTCGCCGTCCCTGTGACATCTTTGGGTGTCGTCATTCCGGATGGTTTCCATGCCGGTGGAATGCCATGGTTGGCGTCACATTCTGCCTCAGAAATGGCTTTACGAAATTGTCAGACTCCAGTAACCATGCTTTTGTCCCACAACATACCGAAATTTGAGGATGTAATTAATACATATTCAGACGGATCTGAAGCGTGCCAACATATTGGGGAAGATATAATATCTGTCCACTCATATTGTTGTGTATTGCACAGCAGATTGTCTTGCCTAGTGGTTGAAGGTGTTTGGAGAAATTTGTCCCTGTTGTGTTACCTTAATGAGTATTTCAGACATTTCTTCAAAATCGAATACAGTTAGAAGAACTGTGTCTGCGTCCCAATTAAAGATATTTAATTAAAATATAGACCAATTCAACTGCTTTCTGAAGAGTTATCCAATAATTGAACTTTCTTTTCCCAGAGTAATGAGCTTCCTTTAAAACTGGTTTCACTTGGAGTTTGACGGATTGGATGTACTTTTTATTGTGAAACGTAAATCTTGTTTTTAGGATTCAACAGATTTGAAGTATATTAAGTAGGCGTATTTTCTAGTAGAACCAGTACTTTATTTTGGTCAGAAACGTTCATTACCAATTTTAAGCCTGTGGATACAAGTGTTGAGGCAAATAGGTTTTCCTTAGTCGAGGTTATTTGAGGACTGATCATCTGAACTGTCTATCGGGTTATATGGTAAGGAGTAACAGAGTTGGTGCATAATAGTGAGATTGATGGCTCGGTCCATTCAAATGAGCCATGTTCTCGTCATATTTTAAAACAGCGAAATTCTAATATGTTGTACTATTGCAAATCATTGATTTTCGACAGGTTTGTTACACTATCTGGTTAAATTAGTTGGCCATCAAACACTTAGTTTCCCCGAGGTTTCAAGTATCGGTTCCGTCTACTTAACTGTGTACCGTTATAATTGCTAAATGTGAAAGGTACTATTTGGTGGGTTTTAGTTTTAACATATAAAAAAATTTATTAGTTATGGGCAAGTGTATTTGCAAATATACATCGAATAAATGTGGGTTAATAGAGTTAATATCTCCAACTGTTGCTAACTTTTATAGATAATCCAGGAAATGATTGAATATAATACTTGCCATATCCGATGCCATATATATAATATTGGGTAGATTAAATGTGGAATCGTTGGGAAGAGTATCTCTTCGCTGAATGAAACTGTTCATCGCTATTAACACGAAAATTAGTATTATGAGTGTCTAACCCCAGTAATTCATTGGGGGTAAGACGCTAATTCTGACATTAAAAAAGCTGACAACTTACTTGATCCTTCAAATGGTGCTAGGAGACCGAAATAAATTCAAAAATATGCTAATGAAGAAACGGGAAGTGGATTGTGTTAGCGACATGATTTAGGCAGTTTCGGAAGTCCGGAGCGAAATAGGAAACGAAGAAAATAGAAATCAGTGAGTATATGAAAATGAAGGCGTAACAAGTGCTTGAAACCAAATAAAATAAGGAAATCTAAAACTTAAACGTGAGTAATGAATATAATAGGTTCTATCAAATATAATCCAAGTAAAAACAAAATAAAAACTGGGAGAATAAATGAAAACTTGGTAAAATTTATTTCAAAGATGTAACGTTTGGGGTTTTGCATTTTCTCAGAATGCTCTTTTCTCTGACATGAAAGCATCTCGATAGGCGGAGATGAGTATTTGCAAAGAATGTCGGTGGACATGTTAAGATTGCACAGGTTAAAATGTATCGACTCTGATTTATGCAGTTGATTGCATGTTTCTCGTTAGATTTTGGTGTATTGGAGGATATTGTACTGTACCGAGATGTATTATGAAAACTTTTTTGTGCAGCCTTGCATTCCATTACACTATAAGGTGTATGTAGATGGAGGTATTTGTATGCTAAAACTGACAGCTATTGAAGTCATTGGAATCTTTCCGCAGATGTATTTCTTTTATTATGCTGAGTAAGACTGATGCATAGGTCGTGTTGTTTATTCCTCTGTACACACAAAATAATGTCACAACTGAGATATATCTGCTTACGTATGTCAATATCTACTGAAATATCCCTACATGAGTCTCAATAGAAATTTGCGTTCCGATCGTCCCATTAAGGATTTCGAGCATCAATAGATATAATGAAACATTAACTACATTCCCCATGATAACACCATCATTTGAAACTCCTCCGATCTGACGATATACACGATAACTAAGGCGAGTCAGTCCACAAGTCAGCACATAAGATATAAAAACCACGTTTCTATTGCCCGTAAAATATTCAGTGCTACCTAGGGAAGAATAGTGATCCGAAAGTTTGTATCGTGGCAGTCTGTTGAAAAGCAAGAGGTCTATGTTGATGTGGGTGCGGATGTTAGTGTATGGAGGCGAGTGTGACATGTGTTTCACGTGTGTATGTGTGTGTGTGTATCGGTTGTGTGTAGTCGATGATTGGATGTCAGTGGGAGTGTAATTGTAGTGTAAGTAGGCGAAGTGTATGGCGATTTGAGAGACAGACGAGTGTTGATTTGTGGTGTTTTGAGGAAGTGTATTCGCCTGGTGGTGGCCTGGAGGCGTTTTGATAGATGTAGGTGAGTATATGTGAAGAACCTAGGTAGGTTATGGGATGTGAGATTGGTCGGGTTTGTTGGAGATGTGTTTGTATGACGATTTGTTTGTAGATTTGAGGTTTTGAACAGGTGTGTTGTTGTTGTTGATGATGATGGTTGTGGTGTTGTTGTTGGGTGATGATGATGTTGTTGTCGTTTAGCTGATAGCTTGGAATTGTTTTGCTTATGCTTTTAGTTTTCGGTGTGTTATTG